TGATCCTCAGTTTGGATATCTCCAAGGATGAGGATCCCATGATGTTTCTGGACACCTGCTCTAGTGCAGGACGACCTTTATGATGAAGAACTCTCTCCTCTTGTCCTATTGAAGCTTGCTGTGTTGCAGCTGCTGCCCGTTGCCCTTCATCCTACCACTGAGCACTCTAGGAAGAATCTGGCTGCGTCTTCTCCAGTTCCTCCCTGAGGCAGCTGGAGACGGCAGCCTGATGTCTCATTCGCCTTCTCTCCTGAAGGCTGGACCAGTCCATCTCTCTCAGATTCTCCTCGTACATGCTGTACTCCAGGCCCTGACCAGCTTCTTGTCCTCCATTAGGGTCTCTGTGGTTCATGAGGGCCTTTCTTTTACTGGGGAGCCCTAAACTGGGCCCAGCTCTCCCAGCACAGCCCCACAAGTGCTCCCTTGACCTGATGGCTGCCCTTTGCTAACCCAGACCAGGATGGGTCTGGCTGCCTCTGCTGCAGAGGTGCTCTGCTGGCTGACAATCAGCTTGTTGCCCCCTGGAGATGCAGGGGTTTTCCTGCAATGTGTCCTTGCAGACTGAGTCTGCCCAGTTGCAGAAGGTTAACCCAGCCCAGCAGCAGGACTTTGCCTTTTCCTTGGCTGAACGTCAGGAGGTTTGTGCTACCCCATTCTGGGGGCCTCTGAGGCCTCTCTGAATGGCAATTCTAGCATAGCAACCTGTCCCCAAAGCTATGTTGTCCCCAGGAGGTACATTGTCACTGATATTGGACATTGCTGGGACTGACACATCTTCATGCATTTCAGGAGATGTTGACCCTGGGCAGCTTGGGAAGTCCCTAGCCACATTGCTTCCCACCTTCAGGCCACCAGACACTTCCCATCAGTGGTGCTGGGTCAGCCAGTCATGGAGCCAGGGTAGAAAACCACATCCCGAGATGATCCAGGCTGAAGATAGGCACATGGTCTCAATGGCTTTCAACACCTGGGAACGTGGGAACATCCAAAGCCAGTTGTGTTTCAGGTGCCAGTGCCTTGTGAGGCTGTGGCCCAAAGAGCACCTTGCTGCCCAGCAGCACTGAGGTTTTTCCTTCACTTTTAATGAGTCTCAGTTGGTGTTGTTAAAAGTTTCTGAACTTCTGCAATCTTAACTTCTGAAAAGGCTTGAGGAAGTTTGTTGTGCTGCTGCAATGCCTGGGGATAGGAGCTATATTTACCCCTTCCCAAAAAAGTGAGCAAAACTGGTGGGGCTCAGACCAGCTCAGAGGTGTCTACAAGCAGTAATTGGCAATTCAGAGATGACTCACTCCTGAGCCATGGGAGTTCAAATTGTTTATGTCTGTGCTGTGGAGAGCCAATGCCCATTGCCCAGATCCCTGGGCTGGCCCCAAGGCTGGAGAGTGGACATGTCTCAGTTGGGCTGGAACCGCCCCAGTCCCATGTCTAGTGGCACTTGGGGAACCCCGTGGTCTTAATCTACGCCATCCAAGACAGACGGACAAGACTTGATGACTGCATGTTATTGGAGTGGCTCCAGCTGCAGTAACAGTACTGGCAGGTGATGGTGGTGCGAGTGCCCATCACACACAAAGGGACATCCGTGAGGCTCCAAGCAGGTTGGAGGGACACCCATGGGGTTTTTTGGATGGCCAAGAGCCCATGTGTCCTGAGCAGCAAGTGGGACCTGGCTCATGGGCTGAAATCAAAACACCGTTCTCCTGACAGCTAGTGCTACGCTTAGAACCAGAGACCATCTGATGCAGTCACATTTAAAATGGGAAAAAAATGGAAAGTCAAGATGATTAAATATCACATATGGCACAGAGATTGTCAGGAAAGACCAGCTTAGCTTCGCTCTGAGCGCTTAAGCTGATATTAGCAAATACAAACCCTAAACAATGTTACGAAGGGAAAGCCTGAATGGAAGCCAGCATGATTAAATCAATCTAAAGAAGCTGATCAGGAGTAAGATAAAATAAACTTGCTGAAGCTGCATCCACATGAAGATAGTAAAATGATCCCAAGTTAACTGCTAAAATATAAAACAAACAATAAAGACAGCAGAATTTGTCCCCTTGCTCCTCTACTCTGAGGAATTACATCTGCACTTACATATATTCCCTTCTTCAAGAGCATCAGGAGCAGGAATTTATCACTAGGACATGTTTGGCCTGTAGCCAGACAAATTCAGAGTAAGTATTCAAAGAAAAAAAGAAATAGAAAAAATAGAAAAGTGAAGAAACTCATCCACCTTGGCTGAGGAGGAGCTTTGGTGGATCCCCGGGCCAGGTGATCACTTTTGCAGACACTTGAAAAAGTCTGTCCTACCAATGCTGAAGTGCAAGTGAAGTAGTAGGACCGAGGAGATGGCAAGTAAATCAGGTATGAAACTCAAACTTTTCAGTGCAGCATGTCATCTGCTGCTTAGACTCACCTTTGCTACCTCTAGTTTTCACCAGAAGACTAGAAGAAGCAAATATGCTGGTTTTAAAGAGGCTGTCGGTGGTAAAGAGACTACAGACAAATAAATCTACTATGCAGTGTGGGCAGATACAGAAGCTGTAATAAATGGCTGACCTGGCTGAGGTATAGACAAATTATGTTATGGCAGAGACTGAATCCAACTTTAGCACAGGAAAAATCATACCTCAGAAATACTGTTTCTGGAGGAGTGAACAAGAGATGAGTGTTGGACATCCCCTGGTCAGCTGAGAAGGGTGTTCATCAAAGCTTGCAAGGGACAAGCTGCCATAGGCTAGGGAGGAAGATTCTCACTTGGATAAATGGGTGGCCGAGAGAGAAAAAGGGAGGAAGATCACCCGGGAGCTCATTGTGCCAACAGACATCTTCTAAAACAGCTCATCCACATGCAGCAGGTGCCAAAGGTGGCAGATGCAACATGAGAAGTTAGGAGGAGACTGAGGAACAGGCCAAGGTACCACGTAAATCTAAATTGTACCCACACTTTCTTGGATGGGTAAAGGTCCAAGTCTGGTCATCACCCAACCCCATCAGGGTCATGGCCTAAGCATGGGAGAGAGAGAGAAGGGTGAGAGGCACAGCTGGAGAGCAAGGAGACCTGCTAAAGATTTAAGATCTGGAACAGCACAAGGTGCATGAATAGAGAAGACAGTCTCCCATCACCAGCAAGCACCACAGTCATCGGCTGTGACTCTCCAAATTGCTCCTCATACATCAGAGGCTGGTCCAGCACCTCCCTTGCCTCAACAGCCTCTGCTCTCTCCAGCAGCCGACTGGAACCCAGGTGCCTGGGCTTGTCTCTACTGCACCCACCTGGTCCCTGCCCGTCTCACCAGAGCACTCCCACAGCACCCAGCAAAGGAGCTGCAGGAGAAACCACTGCAACAAGTGAAATGGAGAGTAGAGACGGGCAGATGCACCAGTGCCAAGAAGGTGCCTCACCCCAGGAAGCCTTTAAATGTTCAGGGAAGAAAAGTCCCATGTCCCATAATCTGAAATTGCAGCCTGTGAGCATCCTGCTCCAGGGCACGGGGAGAAAACAGACGGACAAAAGGAGGAGTGGAAAATGCCGGTGGCAAAGAGAAGTGATGTCACCGCTGTCTGGCAGGGCGATGGCTGCACACGGCAGGAAGGAAATATTTGACTGGAACATGATGTGGAGACACCAGGACTCCCCATCACACAAAGCCCTTGGTGAAGGGCGTTGCTGGCAGCAGGATGTTTTCATCTGCTTCAATTCATGTGCCAAAAACAAGCCTCGAGGCAAAGCTACGTGTGGGCCCTGTGCCCTTGGGAGTGCGGCAAATGCTGAACTCTTCCAGTCCAAACTGCCAGAGAGAATTCCTGCTGGAAACGCTGGGCTCCTTCCAAAGAGAGTGGAGATGGGACTGGGTTGGGAAGTCCCAGTGAGGTCTGTTGCCCTGCTGCTGCTGGGACATGTCCAGCGCTCATCCCCACTCGGCATCGAGACCAGGGGGACCAGTTTCCCAGATGTGTTCTCCAAGTCCTGGGGAGGAGGAAGGAGCATCTGGGAACATCCCAAGGTGCTCAGGTGCTGGAACAACACCTTCCTGGGGTGCCTGCTACTGTCACGCTGCAGCGAAGCATATCCAGGGATGAAATGATTGCCTGGGTGACTGGCCAGAGACAGACAAGGAGGAAAGGCCAGCAGAGAGGATTTTGGAGGAACTTTCTTTTCCAGGAGAGGCACAAGCTGCCCCATACCCTGCCAGACCTCAGTGCTTGCACGCACTGGCTGAGGCCTTGGAGATGGGCATGTGTGAGGTCCTGAGGCTTTTCTGGGGACACAGTTTACCCTGGATGGGTTGTGGTTTCTCCTGGGTGGATAACAGGGGCTGGACAGAGCAGGAAAGGAAGAATAGGGTGAAAGTTCAGAAATATAAATTCAAAGCAAGACAGCCTCTGGAGGCAGATGTCCATCACCACCATCACCATAATGTTACTCTGGGATGGGCTTTCTCTGTGTGATGCCCAGTGGCGGAGACCACATGCAGCTCTGCACCAGCACTCTGGGTTTGGGTCTGCAGGAGTCAGACACCCACCTTCCACCAGCCCCACAGCACTGCAGGACTGAGAGGTCCCAAAGCTGAGTCTTGCCCCTGCCTTAGCCCAGTCCAAGCTAGTGGACAAGCAGGGCTCCAGGGAAGCAGAGGGCTGCAATTGCAGCAGGGCAAGAGGAGAGAAGGTGAGCTGGATGGTGGTGGTGGCTGCAGCATTCCAAACTCCAACTTTTATCTCTGTGGCCAAGTCCTGTGGCCTTTCTGCACCCAGGAATCCCATACCCATGGGATTTCCAGCCTTATCGCATCCCTCATCTCACTTCTGCCTGGCTCTGGTCCTGCCCCACAGGAGGTACCCAGTGGGGAAAATCCTGGTGGGCTACAAAAATGTCCTCCCTTGGGTGAGCTCAGTCCAGGATCAATCCTGGCTGCTTGCCATCCACAGACCACAGGAGGACAACAGAAGGAACCATATGGCCAAGCACCCCAGGTTCCTCCCAGATAGCTACACAAAGCTGCAGGGTGAGTTTCTCTTTATTTGGCAAAAAGCAGGGACTGTGCACTGGAGGAGCAGGAGATGTGTGACCACCACACATCTTGACCACCAAGCTTGCCTTGACCACCAAGCTTGGAAGAGGGATGCAGAAGCAGCCCTGGAAGAGCAGCAGCCTGGAGCTTCAGAGTATGAGGCTTGCATTGTTCAGCAGGAGCATCCATCAGCCATCCCGCACCTCCTAGAAAACAGCCAGGAAAGTATTTGAGGTGAGGAAGCCAACAGAGAGGGCCCAGTAGGGCTTTCTTCCAGGATCAGTGCTTTCTCTTCCAGTTCTCTCCAGCTGTGTAAGGAGATCCATCTCCAGCGATGGATTTCTAGCTAACCCCTACAACTGAATGTGTGCTGGTATGGTGGGAAATCACGTGCCAGGGTGGACCAACAGCAACGATGCTTTGTGTGGTGAGACACTAACCCAACCTCTGGCCAGTTTTGCCACTCCATAACCCTGAGGTGCCTTTGGTAAGAGCTGGTGGCCCAGTCCTTACTGCTGGATGAGCTCTGCAGCTGCTTCTCCACTTGAACCAGTGGTTTTGGTGCAAGTGCCCTTGCTCACCACTGGCAGCTGCACGCTGGGAGTCCCTGCTGCAAAGCAGCTCCAAAGGGAAAGGTCCTACCTGGGTGCAAGCTCTAGGACAGGTTCGAACAACAGAAGTTATTCCATAAGTTTGTGGTGACCCTTGCTGAAGCACCAAGGGGGACAATTTCCAGCTGAGGACATTGCAAACACCGTGTTGCACTGTAGCAACTCACCTACACTTCATCGAGGCTGCATTTCTCTGTGAAAACAAAGAGAAAGGCTGAGTGGAGGGCTGTGGTCTGGCTAGTCCCATTTAGCACCCAAAATAGACAACCCAGTAATGAACTTGAGCAAGGTGAAAGCCAGGACGTGCGAAACCAGAATGCTTTCTCCTGCCAGCTCAGACCACAAAGCAGTGGCAGAGCTGGTCCCTGCAGACACGTCCTGGCTCCCCTTATTGACTAAGCCAGCCCAACACAGTGCTGGGCAGTGCTCACCCTGTCTAGGCAGCATCTTGATCATCTCATCTGTAAAGCTCTTCTCCCTCGCAAGCTTCTTAAACAGTGCTGTGATTTTTGGGCTTCCCTCCTGGGTTCTGCCTAAAGGCAAAGACATGCATTAACTCCAGGCTGTGGCCTGTCTCTGCATCTCCCGGGCATCTGGTGAGCCCACCCAGGCAAGGGTGGGATGGATGGCGGTCCCTGGGAGAAGGCTGGATATCCTGGAAAGCAGTGGTGGGCAGGCACAGAAGACACCCCTCCCAGGGGTCAGAAAGAAGTGGAGGTCCTGGCACCAGCAGAGTGCCTCCTCTCTTGGTTCCCATCCCCACTGTTTCTGTCCCCCTTGCAGCAGGACCTTCACTCTTCACCCATTTCACCAAGAGGCCAAGGACACTCGGCACAGCTCAGAAGCCTGAGCCCCAGCCTCCCCTGCCAACTCCAAATTGCTGCCCTTTCCTCTGCCCTGCTCCTGCACTGGGCAAGAAGTCCTGGCAGGGGGGCAGTGGTGAGGAAGGGGTCTCTCCCACGGGCCCCCTGACTCCTGGCCTCTCGGGACACTGAACCCCCACACCTCCGAGATGTTCACCCCAGTCAGATCACCACTGACTACACACTGTAGAGCCTCAGCATGTGCAAGGTCTTCCCGTCCTTCAGTCTGGAGGCAAAGATAACTGCATATGTCTTGCCATCAGTATCCACCACCTGCGCCGTTTTATTGCCTCTCTCTGCAAAAGGATGTGGAGGAAAGGGAAAAATTAATTACCTCCCCCTGCCAGCTCCCACGCTGCTAAAGGGCTCCAAGAGTGTGAATCAGAACGCCCGGTACGGTCCACCCGGTATGTCTTTCTTCTATGTCTCCCCCTCCCGGTTTTATTTCTTGCTATGGCTCCTCTGAAAGCCTGGGGGAGCCCACAGATCACAGCAGAGCAGAGGGACAGCGACATAAACCGGAGCTCTGGGGATGGCCGCTGCAGACGGCCGAGCAGCCTGGTGAGTGTCAGACCAACGCCTGGGCTGGGGATGGTGGGACACCACTCTTGCTTCATCCACAGCCCCGTTGCAGAGTGACCCTGCTTTTCCCAAGAGCTTAAGCTCAGTCTGAACGTGTCTGTCTTATCCCAGAACAGCTTCCGGGGGGAAGGAGCAGGGGGTCCACCACATTAGAGGGTCACCAGCCCTGGCATGGACCAGCCTTGTCCTGCAGCTGTCAACTAGCTGCAGAGGGATGTCCCACGCCAGGACCTCAGGAGAAGGCAGACAGGCACCCCTGAGGGCCACGTCCCCAGGGACAACCAGCTGCTTCAGACAGGGATGAAGGGAAGTGCCCCCACCCTGTCCTGGGGACCAGGCTCCCCCAACTCACCGGGGCAGTAGTATTCACCCGGGACTCCTGTTTGCTTGTAGATCCACTCTGACTTCTTACACCCCTCCGGGCTGCAAAACAGTGAAGGAATCTCCAGCTCAGGAGAAGTCACCCCCCTTCCCCTCTCCTGGGGACGATGACTCTGGGGTCACAATCCCAAACGTGGGACTTGCTGTCAGGGATGAGATGGTGTGGCCAGGGCAGGGGGGGATGACAAAGATGCCACCCTTGGAGCAATGAGTGCCTGGGTTGGCAGGGCACAGTGCTGGCACTTGGGGGTTGCCCCGTGGGGTGGCATGCTCTGAGCTGGTGGGATGAGGCTGCTCCTGCTGGGAAAGCTTTAATCATAGGGTCCCTTATCATCCTGCTGCATCCCTGCTGGGAACAGCAGGCTGCCTGCTCCTCTGCGGTGGGACCGCTCCTGGCTGGTCCTGCCCCGAGCCTGCCTGGCCTGCCCTGACCAATGGGCCCCCACAGTGCAGCTCTCCGGAGCCTCTGGTTCAAACTGCAGGGGTGGTGGCCCTGCCTCACCCCCTGCCCAGGGCTTTGGTGGGGGCTTTGGTGGCACCCAGGTGGAGACGTATTGGTGAAGGTCCTAGGAGGCGGTTGGGCAGTGAAGTCCATGGAGAAAAGCACTTGGCACTTACGTGGGAATTGCAAAGGAGACCTTCAGATCACCCTCCCCCAGGACCATGATGGTGGCCGTTGCCATCTTCAGCTCGTCCTTCTTCCGGAGGTAGCTCTCGGAGTCGGAGGCCACAGCAGTGATGTACCATTTCCCCGCAATCTGGCAGCAAGGGAGAGCTGTGAGTCTGAAGGAGCAGGCAGGGGCTGTCCCCTCCTCAAGGACTGTGCCAGGACACCCTCAGGCCATGAAACACCCGCATCTCCTCCAGATACTGAAATCCCTGCTAGGGTACCCACGCTGGAGCTGGGTGACTGCCTTCGCCTGGGTATGACAGCAGAGCCAGCAGTGGCTGCAGGGTCCCCAGCCTTCCCCAGCACCAAAACACCTCTCCAGCCCCCACCCTGGTGACCAGAGGCCATGCTTCCACCTTCCCTTCCCGGGGATACTGCGAGTCACCTTGTTCTTGTCCAGCCCCACAGCCCCGGGGTCCTCAGCCTCCGCACAGAGCAAGCAGAGCAGGGCCAGCCCCAGGCTCAGCTCCAAGGTCCTCATCTCACCACAGCCTTCTCCAGCTTCACCAGTGGGAGGGAGAGCAGTGCTGGGGCTTTATATTGCCGTGCTCCTCCCCTCTCCACCCAGCCCGGTGCTGCTGCGTGCCGAGCTGCACGGATAACGCTACCAGCGATGCCTTGGGCGAGGTGGTGGTTTCGAAGGGCTGAAGTCACGCTGGGGTAAACAGCCTCTGGTCTCAAGGAAGAAGGAAAGTTCCTCAAGCCCTGGAGGAGCTGAGAAGCGGGGTTGCAGGAGCTGTTGCACCAGTGCTGAAATTTAGGACTTTCCCCGATTTCTTCAGTCACTTGTGAAAGAACAATGAGAGCTTTTGTTTCCTGGCTGGCTGATGGAGGGCTGACAGGAGGAGTGGGAATGTCTTTCCTGGTGTGGGCCACAGCAGCGCCGTCACCCAGTGACCCATCACAAAGGGGCTGGGTGACCTGTACTCTGGCCAGGTTGGCATCTGCCCCAAGGGTGCCACTGGGATTGTGCCCAAGCCTGGGTGCCTGCACGCCACTGGCATGACCTGACCTCATGGTGCCCACACAGGGTCACCCACCCCCTCCAGGAAATGCACAGTGATGTCCCCTGTGCCCTGGCTCTGATGGGCTCCTGTGGTGACAGTCCTGAAAGGTCCATGCTGCTTCCTCGCAGCCTGGCTGGGCATGGAAGGACCCCTGCTCTGGGGCAGGGGGTGGCAATGGGGACCGTGGGCTGCCTCTGCTCCACAGGAGGTGGAGGGGGATGGAGGAAGGGAACTGGCTGCCCCTGGAGCTCATTGCAGCATGGTCCTACGCTGGTCAGTGGGCAGATGGGGACACCAAGAGGGCTGGGAGACAGGCGTGGGGGTTCCATTCCTGCCATGTGTTTACCCCAGCAGAGCCCCACTCCCTGTCTGGTGGCCCCGGGGAGCACTGAGCAGGGAAGGGGGTGTCCTGGGGATGAGCTGGTGCTGAGAGCCAGAGCCTGTGCAGGCAGGGCTGGAGGCGTCCTGACCGCTCACTCTGCCTGCTCAAACCTGCTGCCCACCCAGCTGGGCTGCCCCAGATCCTCTTCATCCCGGCTGGATTCTCCCCTACCCATATCCCCATTGGCTGATCCACTGTTCCCCATCCCCTGCTCTCCATCCTCCCCACGCTGGGCGCAGCAAACAATGCAGACAAGGAGCCCCCCGCCACCCCTGGGGTGCTGAGAGGAAGGGTCGGGTCCAGGACCCCTGGGCTCAGGAGGCCTGGGCAGCACCGCTTCTCCTACCAACAAAAGAACTGAGCTCCAGGGCAGCTTCTGCACATATTTATTTAGGAGGGCGAGGTGTGATCCTGGCATGGGGCAGCAGGTCTGGCAGAGCCTGACCAGGGTAGATGCGAAGGGACACCATGGAGGGGGGAGCAGAGCCCGGTTTCCACCAGGTCTGGAGGACACATGGCCCTGGCATCGGCGCTTTCAGCTGCAGGGAGGCAGGACAGATGGACAGTCATTAGAGGCAGGACAGACTGACAACCATTAGAGCAGAGGAAATCCGATGTGATGCAGAGCCCCAAGGCTGGGAGGGCTCCCTGGGGGGCTGTGAGTCCCTGCTCAGCCCAGGCCATGCCACGAGGGACACCCAGCTTCCACCCGCAACGCTCACCTGATATCCTTGGTGCACTGATCTGTTGAAAAGCAAAGAGAGGGGTGAGCATGGCACAGACCGTGCCCTCATCCCCCCGCAGAAGGCCTGTGTGTGCCACCCCGCACCCTCCTGGCACTCACCTGACTTGGGCAGGACAGCCATCATGTCTGTGGTCAGGCCCACAGTGGGCATGAGTTCCTTGAACTTCTGCAGGAGCTGGGGGCTCACGTCCTGCTCCCTGGCTGCAGCAGACACCAAAAGAGGGGCTGGTGAGTCGGGGGGACCCGGCAACAAGCCCCGTGCCAGGGATCTGGCTCTCATGGGGTGGTGATGGGACCCTCAGGAAGGGTAAGGGCAAAGCCACAGAGGCACAGGGTGGACACCGGCCACACCACGCTGCCCTGGGCTGGCAGCGTAAGGGCACAAGCCCCTTGGGACAGGTGCCCCACCTGCCTGGGGTGAAATGGGGTGGCTGGTGGGGCTGGAGGTCCGCAGCCAGACCGGCACACGGCAGGGGTGGGGGCTTTGATTCAAACCACATTCAACTGGGGGTATTTTTAGTACAAGATTTCATTCACCCCAAAATTAATTCCCTGGGTGGGCAGCATCTTGCGTGCCAAAGTGGGGGCCCACGGCAGTGGTAGAGAGCCCAGCCCCTGCCCCCCTGGGGCTTGTCCCTCCCCCTGGGGAGCCATGGGTGCCTGTCCCCACTCCCAACACCCACTGAGGAGCTGCATCGCGCTGTGGGGCTCCTCTCCACTCCGCTTGAACTCGTGCACGATGGCGTAGCTGCTGTAATCCGTCTCCATCACACGCAGGTCCCTCATCTCTTGTGCTGCTAAAGAACCCCAGATGGTGCCCGGTCTGGTAACGTGGCACAGCTCGGGCCCCTCCCCAGCCCCTGACAGGGCTCACAGATCAGGACCTGAGCCCCAGATTTGTCGAAGGGGAGGTATGAGAAGGGAATCCCCATGGGATCCAGCTGAGCCCGGCACCCACCCGCAGCATGGCCACTCGCAGAGAGATGGAGGCAGACAGGCCAAACCCACCTCCCGCTGCTCCCTGGGCACAGGGGACCAGTGATGGACACCCTCTGTGTCAGGGTGCCCATGGCTGCTACCCCCCCTGCTCACACATACCCACGTAGTGCCCTGCCTGCCCGCTTCGCTGGAAGAGCAGCTCAAACTTTTGGCATTTGTCCGCCCTGGAAAAGGAAAATGGAAACGACAAAGGAGGCTGGACACCACATGGGACAGCAGCGGGATGGGGGCAGCGGGGAGCCCAGCCTGCCCAGGGAACATGCTAGGGCACAGGCAGGATGGGGCAGAGGGTCTGTGAGACGATACCCAGCTGCCTTGGTGGGCAGGGGAGTCCCCTGCCCCACGTGGGACACGGTGAGCAGGATGGGTACTCACATGGGCCAGAGGAGCTTCATAGACACATCCCCCTCCAGCGTGAAGCTGATAGTAGTGATGGATGACTTCATCCCATCCTTCATCTTCAGGAACACGGAGCAGTTGGAAGCAATGGCTGCGACATGCCATGTCCCTGCAAACTGCAGCAGGACATCACCATGGGGTTTGGGAAAGCCATAGGGACCTGTCACCCAGCATCCTGGACCTGCCAGCCTATGGTGAGGGACCTGGCACCCACCATAAGGTACCTGACAGCCCTTTGTAGGAACCTGCTAGACTGCAGGGGGTAACTGCCACCCTCTGTGGGGACCAGCCAGCCTAACACGGGGACCTGTCACCCACCTGCGTGCAGAGCACCCTGCCCTGCCTCATGCCAGGAGGGTGCGGGCAGTGCCTGGCCCATACTCCTTGGGAAAGCATAACGCGCTCTGGGGCATCAGTCCAGGAACGTTCATGTCCCTGCAGTGGGGCAACTGCTGGGTCTGGCCACAGCAGGCAGGAGCTGGCCAGGACTAACCCAATTTTGCTCAGGGATGGGACCAGCGGGTGCCTGGGGATGCCCGGCTGTGCCTCGGGGTGCCTGGCCATGGGCATGGCCACAGCTTGGGCACCCTGCCCCAGGCAGCCCCTCCAGCCCAGGAGGACCAGCCGGGTGGGTACCCTGTGTCATTACCTTCTCGGCGTCGAAGCCCGGCTGCACGGGGACCTCGGCCCCTGCCCGCAGCAGGCAGAGCAGGGCCAGCACCAGGCTGGGCAGCACCACCATCATCATCCTTGCTCCAGGGGCTGGATGTGGGCAGGAGAGGCTGCGTGGACCTGTCTCCTCCCGCACCCACTTTTATAGCCCCTGCCCCTGGCAGCATCCCCTCCCCCCACCGTTTTATGCAACAGGTTACACAAGAGCAGGGATAATTCGTACCCAGGTTAGGTGACAGTGTTGGCCCATTCCCCCTCTAATTGCCCAGTCCTGAATGAATGCAGCCTTGTGTGAGATCCAGCCCAGAGCACGTCAGGGACCGGGCAATGCCCTGTGCCCAGTGCTGTGTCTGGGGAGGGGGATGAGGGTGCCCTCAGTGCCTCACTCTTGGCTTTTGCCCATTGGCCCCAGGGTCCGGCAGAGCTGGGAGGGATCCTGCCTCAAGAGGGAGGATGGTTTGGTCAATGTTTTAACCCAGGGTTGAGCCACAGCCCAGTGCCCCCCAGAAGGGGTTGTGGCTCCCCAGGCTGCTGGCAATGGGCACAGACCTTGCTCCTGGGGTGCGGTCTCATGGCATGGAGAGCAGGCAGCAGCCAGGGCTGAGCCACATTGAGCACTCACAGCCATTGCTCTGATACATGTCCATCCTGCCCCCACATTTTTGGAAAGACCTCACCCTGTGCTTGCCCATCGCCCCATCCCCATGCTGCCAACCTGTTCCCTGGAGGGGAAACTGAGGCAGGGAGGCTGGGGTAGCCCAGGTTGCCCGAGGGGGCAGATGGGAGGGGATCCCCCCAGGGGGTTCCAGCCCCAGGGACCCCTTTTCCCTGGACGGGGCAGGTTTGGTGTCCAGGCAGCACCATGGCACGGATTGTGAGTGTACATGGGGTCCCATCCCGGGATCGGCCTTGACCCTTGGGGCCAGCCCCAGCTCAGCCCACCGCCACCAGCTGTGCTTGCTCCCCCCTCCTCATTGCCCCATCGGGTCTCCCCCTGCAATGACCCAGCAGACAAGGCAGGGGAATGGTTTTATACAGGCTTTAATGGGGATGAGGGTACAGGTGTGGGGTGTGAAGCTGGGGAGCGAAGGCTGCTGTGGTGCTGGGGGTGCGCTGGGGACAGGACGGGACGGGGCTCATGGTGTTCTTGGGGCTCCGGCCGGCAGCAGCTGGTGGGTCGGCCTGGAAGAGACAGTGGCAACCAAGCACGGCTGAGCTGGAGGAGACAGGGGGACACACAGCCCTGGGACATACCAGCCCTGCCAGCCCCACGCTGAGTGGGTGGGCACCTACCACCAGGGCCTGGGGCAACAAAAGAGCCCTCATGGGGCTGGGGTGGGGGATCTCTGGCGGGGCTAAGGGGGACCCCAGTGAAAGGAGTCTCTGGGGTGCAGGAAGGCGATGGGGACATTGTGGGGTGGAGTGCCTCTGAGCACCCCAGTGCCCCCCCGCAGGGCTGGTCTGAGCCCCAGCAGAAGCAGGACTCACCTAGGCAGCATCTGCCATGCATTTGTCTGCAGGAAGAAGAAAAGCAGAGATCAGCTCATCCAGGGGTTGGGGGGGACTGCTGACCCCCCGAGGGACCCCACATGGGGCTCTTCCCAGCCACCATGGCTGGTGGCATGCCAGCCCCACAGGGAGACAGGCTCTCAAACCCTCTGGTTGACCACCTGGTCCCTGCCACCCCCCTGCCCCTCCAGCCTCTCACCCGTCTGGGGCAGGATGAGGATCTCTTCATCTGTCAGGCCCTGCTCCCTGGAGAACTGGGTGAACCTCTCCATGCGCTCAGGACTGAGCTCCTTCGTCCTGCCTGCAGCGATAGCAGGGTGAAAGGCAGTGACCCCCCCAACCTCCTTCAGGGGTCACACTGCCCAGGGGTGTGGGCAGCCCAGCAAGGGACAGGTTCTCCAGGAAGGGAGTCCAAACCCAGCCATCCCATGGGTCACCCCAGCTTGGGAGATGATGCTGCCCTTCTCCCATGGGAGAGATCCCCAACCAAGGATATCCCGGGGGGCCCTGGGTGGTGAGGATGTGGGTGGTATGGGGGTCCCAGGGCAGACGTACTGTAGAGCAGCACCATGGTGGAGGAGCCAGTGCTCTTGGAGATCTGGGTGGCCACCAAGGCATACTCATCGTAGTTGGTCTCCACCACGCGGATGTCATGCTTGCTGCCCCAACCTGAGGGGGATGGGAAGGGCACAGCTCAGACCCTGGCACTGAGCTGGCCCTGAGATGCTCTGGCGAGAGCAGGAGCAGGGACAGGCATCAGCAGTGCCGGGCTGGGAGCTGGGGCCACATCAGGGGAAGCCCCACAGAAGGACAAACTGGGAGCTGGGAACTCACGTGGGCTGGTGTAGCTGAACCGCCCTGGCTGCTCCGTCTTGGTGTAAAGGCTGTTCCTCTTCTCGCAGTGGTCACCCCTGGGGAGCGCAGCACGAGGATGTTAGAGGGGCCAGGGTGGATGCTCCAGCCCACCCATAGTCCCAGGCATGGCACCATGGGGGAGCACCCCCTGCTCACCCACCCACTCCCCATGCCCGTACTTGGGGTAGGTGGAGGTGACTTCCAGGTTCCCATCTGCGGTGGCGGAGATGACCGTGGTGCACATCTTCATCAGGTGCTTCTTCTCCTTGAACCAGTTGGAGTTGGAGGCCAGGCCAATGCTGTACCATCTCCCTGTCAGCTGCACACAACCTCCGCTCAGTCACCGGCTGGGCAGAGATCCCTCAGCCACCTGGGCTACTGTTCCCCTCCCCTGCCAGTCTGCAGCCCACAGCAGGTTGGCACCCTGTGGTCCTTGTCCCCCCAGGGAGCTGCTACAGCCCTTGGTGTCCACAAAATCCACAGCCAGGAGAGTCCTGGTTCACGACGTGCCCTTCACTGCCCAATACTCGAGGTGTTTTCTTCCTCTGACCCAGGCCCAGGGAAGGGGTGACAGAACAGCCTGGCTTTCAGATGCCATTTGCATCTGTCCAGGGGCGTGAGGAGGGGTCAGGACCCTGGCACCAGCATTGCTCATCCCAGCCTGGTCCCTGGGGCCAGCAGCTTAGTGCACGTGGAGTGGAGCTCTCAGCTTTGGAGATGGGCTGTGCTGGGACCACACTTGCAGGACGTGCCTCCATCCCCATCCCCTCCCTGGGGTGGCTCTGTCCCCCCAGGACCCCTCTGGGGGTTCCCTGGAGAAGCAGGCAGTGTGTTCCCTGCCCTGGCTCAGTGGGAATCCAGGGCTGTGGGGCTGGGACCTCAGCGCGTGGCTGGGCCAGGACTGCCCTGCTCTGAGTCCTGCCCATCACGGGGCAGGGAAGGGGAGTGTGAGCACCTGGGGGCTGGGAGGGCAGAGAGGGGTGTGGGAGTCCCCAGCACAGCAGCCCTTGTTTTTTTGGAGACCCTGGGTTGGGGGTGGCTGGGGTCTGTGTTGGGGAGAAGGGTCCATGACCCATTGCTGGGCTGCCTGTCAAACTGAGCTTGTTTTTCTCAGTACCCCCTACAAAATCCCTGTGCATCTACAGCCACCCCACGGCACAGCAGATGGCCCAGCCCTACACCTGCTCTGTCCTCCCCCATAGGCTGGAGCCTGGACCCTGCACCCCCTCTGGAGCCACCAAACCCCAGCCCCGGGATCTCCCTGGGGACGGGGGGCTGCGGGTGCACCAGCTGCCCTGCGCCTCCCAGTTGCAGGGAGGTATCTGTCTGGGCGCTGGTCCCCAGGGAGCTGGGTATCAGGGCTGCCCAAGGCAGGGATCTGGCTGCCCCCCAACACCCCAGCCCCACATCTCGCCATCGGGCTGCCTGGCCCCAAATCTACCTGCAACCCCATCTCCACATATTTTCAGGGTGAAGATCCCCCAAAACACCCCAAATCCCCACGCAGGCGATGCTGGCCAGGCACGGGTCACCTTGTCCTGCTGGAAGTCGGGTTGCACGGGGATGGTGTCCTGTGCGCGCAGTGCCCCTAGCAGGGCCAGACCCAGGACGCCGAGCAGCGTGGCGTGCATGTCTCCCCCAGCGCCGAGCCGAGCTGATCCAGAGGAGCAGGCAGAGCGCTGCGGTGCCGGAGAGTCCGGCAGGCCCCTATTTATGGGCAGGCTGAGCGGTGGCCCCTGGGGGGCCAGCCCTGCCTCCCCCTGTGTCGTTATGCAAGCGAGAGCAGGGGCGAGTGCCCAAGCCAAAGGGCAGGGGAGGGGGGAACCTGCAAACACTTCCCTCCTGTTGATATGACATGTTTGCTTCGGGGTGCCAAACTGCTCCACAGCAAAAACACAGCTTGCAGCCAGCGCAGCGGCTTCCCTGCCCCCAGCGCTGCAGATGGGGGCCAGTGCAGGCAGCTGGGGTGGCCCACGGGCACGGGGCCAGGACTGGGGGCCAGGGCTTGCTGGCTGCCCCCTCCTTGAAGGATGACCTCACTCAGACTCAGAGAGGGGCCCAAGTGAGGTGGAGGGAATGTCAAGTGCCTGCCAGGTCCTGATCCCACCCAGGGGGCTGGTGGGAACCTTCGGGTGCTCCTGCGGGACCCCCTGCTTTGCCCTGACCCAAGTCCCTACATCACCCGAGGGAAGCATCTCAGCTGGCCCTGCCACCCACATCGAATTGCAGCTCCGGTGCAGCCCCATGTAGAGATGTGGGGCTGGGGTGTTGGGGGGCAGCCAGATCCCTGCCTTGGGCAGCCCTGATATCCAGCTCCCTGGGGACCAGCGTGCAGCCAGACAGATCCCCCAGTGCTTCCTCCATGCCACTCTGCACCTTTTGCCAAGAGGGCCTGGGAGACATCCTCCCCCATGGTTTGGGGTCACCAGCAGGTGCTGAGCTGCCCCCCCCCCTCCCCTAATTTGGGGCGACCCTGAGCACCCACATGGTGGAGGCTGGGGGTGAAAACTGTGTCAGATGCTGCAGCCATGGGTCTGGCAGGGTTTAGGCAGGGCTGGCCATGCTGGGTGAAACATCAGCCCTGCGGCTCTCCCCACAGCACGGTCCTGCCAAGGCACTTTACGTAAGGAGCCTGTTTTCACAACAGCTGTTTTTTTCCCCTGACAGCCCCCTTCTACCTCCCCCCTCCCCAGCACATTCCCTTCCCTGTACCCAGCTGTGAGCCTGGCCTGCCCCCGCACCCCACGCGCCAGGCTGGCCTCAGCTCTGCGGATTTATTAAAACAAAACAAAAAGCTGAGCCAGGCAGGACTGAGCATCACGAGAGCCCAGCTGGGCCCCCACCCCCATACACTGGGCTGGGGGCTCACCTTCTGTGTGAGCCCACCAGTGGGGTGCAGGGTGCCAGGAGGAGCCCTCTCCATCAGGCATCAGAGGCACGGACCACTCACGGGTGTCACTGCAGTTCTGCGCTGGGGCAGGGACACAAAGCCCTCCTGCTGCCCAGGCATCCCCAGCTCCCTGCCCTGCCCAGGCAGCAGGAGGGGATGCCCAGGGGATTCCTGCTCTCCGGCTCAGCTAGGGGTGGCAAAGCAGGGGGGCAGCCCAAGGAGCTGGGTGGCAAAGCTGGGAGCAAGCTCAGGGGCGCGGGGGCACAAGGGGGCACCAGTGGCAGTGGGGGGCAGGCTGAGACCTCTCTGGGGCAGGATGGAGGTACCCAGGCTGTGGATTACAGACCCTTAGGCACAACCCAGGAATTTGCACCTCAGAAACGGGTTCGCAGCAGCTAAACACAGGCTGAGGGGAGTGGGGCGCAGGAGGGTCCCTGGGGACCAGCCCAGCTCCCCTGGCCAGGAGGGCAAGGCTGCCCATTGCCCCCTATCACCCCCCATTGCCCTGTCAGCACTCCACCATACTTGTGGGGTGTGGGTGGGTGCAGGGCAGAAGGTGAGTCGGATCCCTACCCCTTGACACCCAGGCTGGAGCGGGCAGCTGGGGGATCTGTGAGCGTGGCTGGACACCCCTGCCCCACACGTGGGCAGCGGGACAGGGCTGGTGCGGGGCGCATCACGTGGCAGTCCCTTACATAAGTCCCTGATAAACAACATGTGTTACTGGTTTCCGCTACGATTGCAAAACGCCGGCGCTGGGGGCAGAGGGCTGCTCCCTGCCCTGGGGGCTGCGGGGTGCCCGCGGGGGGCTGCTCCCTGTCCCCCCCCTCACTGTCCAGCCTGCACCAGGGAGCTGGCACTGCTCACCCACAACACCCAAGCGCGTGGCAGGAGAGCCTCAGCCAGGCTGGACACGCAGGGGAGAGGGGTCCTGTGAGGGGCTGCAGCCCTGGTCCAAGCCCCCACAGCCTCCGCAGTGTGCTCAGGGCACCCCCTCTCTGGCTCTCCAGCCTGGTGCTGGCTTTGGGAGGCAGGCAGGGGTCTGGTGCAGGCAGCAGCCCCTTGGGGAACATGATCCACAGGGCTGGGGCAGGGGAACGGGGTGTTTCACTGCCCAGAGACCCTGGGGATGGTGAGGAGAATCAGTGTGGGGCTGAGGTTCCCTCTTCTGGGATCTCCTGGCTTGTCCCTGGGAAGTGCTGACCCTGTGCCAGTCCCCAGCACCCCCCAAGCCTGTAAGGCCCCATGGCAACCAGCACTGCGCTGGGTGCTCAGGGCTTTCTCTTGCTCACCAGCCAGACTCACGTACACTGCAGCACCTGAGAGTAAATCGGGACCTGCCACAACCCTATGGTGAGGCTCAGGGAGAGGATGATGGAGATGCGTGAAGGGGGCTGCCTGTACCCCCTGAACCGCCCCGGCACTCCCCAGGCCAGGAGCACAGTGCCAGGGCACCAGCAGTCCCAGGGCAGAGGAGCGCTGGCCTTGCTGGGGCAGATTGAGGGGTGTTGCACCTAGAGACAGATTCTTCTCCGAGGCATTTATTGGGGTGTCACTGGCTGCTGCAGGGCACTGGGGCGCAGAGCAGAGGAGTGACACAAAGCTGTGGGGGTACAGGACAAGGACAGGCATGGCTGCCAGCACAGCTGGGAGAGCCAGAGAGCCCCAGGGCTGGCTCCAGGGCTGTGGAGCAGCAGCAGGGTCTCCCCAAACCCCAGCTCGGTTCTGCATGGCCATGGGCGGCTGGATGAGGTGAGGGCTGAGCTCTGGGGACCTCCTGGCAACACTGTCTGCACCTAAGGCTTCGTTTCTGGAAGGGAAAGAGAAGAGCTGAGGGGCTGGGGAGGGTCTGGCACAGACTGTCCGTGTTAGACCAGGCCCCCTGCGCCCCTGGGGCAGGATCACACGGCCATGGTGTGGTGTGGGTCTGGCCCAGTGCCCAGCCCGCAGCCAGGGCAGGGTGGTGTCTGAGTTGTGGCCAAGCTTGGCACTTGGGGGGACCCAGTGCATCACCCAGGATCCACAACTCACCGTCAAGGACGTGAGACTCCTCTGCAGAGTCGCAAAACCCTGCAAGAGAGAGAGAGCCTGGGGTGGTCACCCTGCCTGGGCACCCGGGACCCCTGGCTCTGCACAGCCCAGTTGCACTTTGCATCCTTGTCCCTGGGGTGGTGACAGCATGGGGACACACATGGCCCTACTGTGGGTGACACGGGGCCACAAGCTGCTCAAACCCATGTGGATGTGCCTCCCTCTCCCCACGTTGGAGGAGCTGGACACCAGCCCCTGCTGCCAGGCCCCTCCTGGGCACGGCTCTTGCTGCAGGTGTCCCCTGCTCCTAGGGGACTGTGTGCCACCCACCGTATTGGGGGAAGTAGTAGGTCACGTCTTCGTTCAGGCCCACAGCCCTGACGCGCTGCTCGAACTTGTCTGCAATGGCATCGCTGACCCGGCTGGTTCGTCCTGCACGGGGAGGGAGACACTGTCACCAGCCTCGAGCTCTGCCCCAAATCCCTTCATGTGCCCTGAGACAAGACTCGGGGCCAAGGGGGCTTTCAACTCAGAGAAGCTGGTTACCAGCTTCCCCCTACCCCCCTGCAGCATCTGGGGATAAAATTCTCCATCTGGGGACCAGGACCCTCAGAGAGACCCCATCCCTGCTCTGGGTCCTCTGGGGCTCCTGCAGGCGTCCCCTGAGCCCAGCACGGGCTTTCCACCCCTCTGCCCCCCCTGTCCTTCATCTGCCACAAGTCCCCAAGCACTGACGAACCGTAGAGCTTGACAGAGATGCTCCGGCCCTTCTGGTAATAGAGGATGGCATAGGTGCTGTGGTCTGTCTCACCCACCACCACCTCCACTTTGCTGCCAGAGCCACGGCCTGGGAAAGACAAAGGACAGCCCCAGTTAGTTTCGGTTAACTCTGGTTAGCCCCAGTACTGTCCAGGGGCCTCGTTTCACCACATGCAGGGTATGCAAGGGGTGGAAATCAGGGCCAGAGCAGGTGCAGCCCCACAGGTTGCCATCACCCACCACCATGATGGCATTTGGCACTGGGGCACTTTGAGACCCCACAGGTGGGAAACTGGGAGGGCACTGGTATCAAAGCCCTGCCAAGAGTGGGAGTGGGGGGCTCCAGCTTCGCGGTCCCCGCGGCCCCCACACCACCCCAGCCCAGCCCCTCTCACCCTTCAGGAGGAAGTGTCCACGGGCCTGGGCAGGGAGGTAGCGCTGCCGGATTTCCCAGCACGTCCCATCCCTGTACAGGGAGAGGAGGAGGCTGTTGGCGCAGGCTGGGGAGGATCCAGTCCGAGTCCTTTCCCACCCCATTGCCTGGGCACACACAGTATGTGTTTCCTTGGGACATCCCCGGGAAGATGTGGCAAAGATGTCCCAGATCCCCGTGGAGACACAGCAAAAGACGCAGGGCCTGAAAACTTACTGAGCCCAAGGGGTCCCTGCCCCCTCCTGCAGCTCTGAGCCTGCTTCAGCCCCTCAGCCCACCCTGAACTGGGAGGCAGCACCTGAGCTTGAAGATCCCCCTCCTCAGCCGTTGTGCAGCTGTGCTGACCCTGAGAGCTGGTCTCTGGCTGGGCACCCATGGAGTGACCACGTGCCTAATCAGCGCCTCTGTTTCCCCAGCCTGGCTGCTCCCTACCCTGGGCCGGTGGCCACGTGGGTGGCAGGGTGCCGGGGCTTCTCCCCCAAAACATCCCAGAGAAGATCCCAGCCACACTTTGCTCCCAGGCAATTCTCTCCTCCTTGGGGCCCATGGTTGGGGCACTGGCCCTGCTCTAACCTGCCTGCAGCGTCCCTGTCCCATCCAGCGTCCCCATCCCAGGACGCTGACTCTGTTCTGACCTGCCTGCAGCGTCCCCATCCCACCCAGCGTCCCTGGTCCTCATCCCGGGGCATCGGTCCTGCTAGGACCTGCCTGCAGCGTCCCTGTCCCTGCCTGCGGCGTCCCTGTCCCTGCCTGCGGCCCCAGCAGTCGGTGTCACTCACAGCTTCCTGAAGGTGCTGATCGCCAGGCTCTGCCCGTCCGGGACGGTCACCGTCACTGCCGTGGCCTCCAGGCGGTGGCTGTGCTCTGCCAGGTAGCTGCAGCGGGAGGCCATACCGACCAGGAACCACCTCCCTGCAAGCTGCATGGCACAGGGGTCTGCCAGGCCACCACCTCAGAGTGCCACCACACCAGAGTGCCACCACCCTGCTGCCTGGAGCACCCACCACCCCAAGCACCCTTCTTCCCTGCCGACTCTGCTCGCTTGGCGTCTTTGCCCGCAGCCCGGCCCCTTGGTCTGCCCCGTGGGGGCCAAGCTGGGGCTGGGGGTGTGCGGCGTGGCTGGGCTGGGGCCCGGCTGCGAGGGAAATCTGAGGGGTGACACTGGGGGGTGCCTGGAGAGGGACAAGCAAGGGGACAGGCTGCACCCCCCCCCCCCTCCCTGCACCCCAGCCCCGCCGGGGAGGGGGGTGGTGGCGGCTGGGTGCCCCCCGGACCCTCACCTGGGGGAGGCTGAGCTCCTCCTGGACTGCCACCTTCTCCAGGGGGCTCTGGGGAGGGGGCGGCCGCTGCCGCCGCCCCGGGCCCTGCCCCAGCGCTGGCGGGGCCGTGAGGAGCAGGCCGAGGAGCAGCAGGGTGCCCGGGCCCGCCATGGTGCTGCGCTGGCGGGACCCGCTCTGCCGGG